ACCTCGGAGTCCTTTTTGATCTGTAAGCTGCAACTGTAAATAAGGCTAAGGGTGTTTTAGTGTATATCTCGTTAGTACGTCCTATATTGGAGTATTGTTCTTGTGTGTGGAGCCCACAGTATAAAGAGCAGCAGGTTGTTTTAAAAATCCGTGCGAAAGCAATTTTTAATTTTTGCCTTTTGTAACTTTAACTGGGACTCGGGTAGAATCTTGCCCCCTACCGGTCTAGGCTAAATCTTATTGACCTGCCGTCGTTGCACCATCTCAGAATATGCAATGGCGTAATGTTCGTGCACAAATCTCCTTCTCGGGATTGTTGACTGCCAAACTCTCTTGGGTCAGATTGACTTGGCCGACCCATCTAGACCTACCCGTCCTTTTAGGCCTATCCGTTTACCCATGTATAGGTCTAATTATACCGAACAGGAATCTTTTTGTGTTTTATGCCACAATTACAGCTCCCTCTGTCATACCCTATCCCCTGAACAGCCTCTTAAACTAATTGCATGCAATATTTATAATCACTTAAATTTAGCTAACTTTTAACTTCTCTTTTTTCCGCCTTTTGTAATTAAGTACCATTAATAACAGATAATTTTTTAATTTAATTTAATTTTATAAATAAAAAAATATCGTACGTACTATTCAACTTTGACCTCAAGTCGGCACCTCTAAACGTTGTCGGGATAAAACTTTATATTTTATCGTTTTATACCATTTTTTAGACATTTTTTCGCCCATACAGATAAGCGCAGCCCTAATGTACATATCTCAAATTTTTCAGCACGTATAATTTCGAAACTTTGAAAAAGAGTCATTGCCTAGTGTAGTATAAAAGCGGGTTGGTTAACTAAAACAATTCGTACCTTCGTACCTTTCTTTGAACCATTTCAATAGCAAGTATCTTTTTCTATTGGTAATTAATGAAACTAAAGAACTCAAATCTACTTTCTAAAAAAAAGTAAACAAAAATGTCAAAGTTAAAGAAACTTCAAAAATTGTAGAAAACTTCCAGAAACTTTGGCTCGTTATATTTTCTATCGACACACATAAATATCGTATGAAAGTAATAGAACTATCTTTTCATCCCATTAGTTGTTTAGGATAGCGGCGCTGCAAATGCCGAAATTTATGAAAATGTGCAAAGACCTCATTACGACCTACTACCTAATTTTTGTCCCACACTAAGAAAAAAATCACTGCCAAATCTAGAACATACCAATTACTTCTCGGTGTTTATTTATCGTAGCTCCTGGAACCTCTTAGGGTAACCATCTTGAGACAACCTTATACTATGTAGGGTATTATTATTTTATTGTTACTAGATCTTATATCGGAATATCAAAAGAGCAAAGAAGAGCAAAAGATTTCCAACCGCAAAAAACTCAAAGACCCCTTTTAAGGAAATTATATCATACTATCAAATTAGCATGGAGCACACCTTGGTATCAAAGCAGAGTTCGCCTAATTAATGCTCCCCAAAAGTACATTCCATCCAACAGTAATACTAACAATCATTTAATTTCAGGTTAATTGCATAGAATCTGGTTTCTCGGGGCTCCATAAATTGTGTGTGCACTCGTCGCCCGTCGGTCGCTGCTGGTGTTTTGTGTAATTTATTTGCATATTTCAGTGGAGCGGAGTGACAGGCCAGAATTATGCTACAAAATGTTAGGAATGCCATTCCTTCCATCCCCAACCCCATCCCCATCCCCACCTTCATGGAGGGCCAAGACGGTTACAAAGCGGGAGGCAGCACTGGCACCCAGCAGGGTTTGAGGCATAAAACTCCGTGTCTTTCTCTCGGTCTCTCTCTTTTGGCTGCTAAACGCACTTACGTGTCAAAACTAATTTAGTGTGTGCCTCCCTTCTCTCCCAGGGCCGCAACAAACGATGTGGAATGGGAGCGGTGGAGGGAGAACGAAGTGGCATGGAGTGGAACGCACCAGCGGCAAGCGGAAACGGAAACCCATACGCATACGCAGTGGGGGCCGCCGCGACGGACCATATTTTGCTTATTTATTTGCGGGACTGTTGCATGTCCCCCCCTTGCGTGGGTGACTCCCCGTGTTGCACGCCCCTTGCGTGGCTTTGCGCTAGCATTTCTCACCTAATAAAATTACAATGGAAACACCCTGGAGCGTAAGCGTACCACCCCAAAAGCCGAAGGACTAATGGCCCAGACTCTACCCTCGACCCTCACATGCTGGCACCGCCACCCCCTCCTGCTGGCTGTCCTTTTTCTCTCCTTTTGATGTAAATTTAATTTCGGTTTTCACATTTTGAGGTTTTCATAGCCACATGCTGGTGCAAAGGCGAGGGTGGGAGATAGCGAGTGCTGCCTGAGTTCCGAGTTCTGAGTCCTGTGCCCTGAGCCCTGAGCTTCTGAGTGAGTGTCCGTATCCTGTCCGTCCAGCCCTGATATGCCTTCCTCGCTTTCTGTCGCTCTTCCAGTGTGTCGTGTCCCCTGGGGGCTTCAGGGAGCATATTCAGCTGCCGTAATGCTTCTTTCATCGTTGTTTCCTTCACAACTCGCAGGCTCCACGGCTCATGGCTCATCGCTGGGATGCTCTCTTGTTCCTGGTCTTCGCTCCGTCTGTCATCAGCGTCGCATATTGTTCGCCTTTGTTCATCCCTGCATCCCTGCATCCCGTCCACCCCTGCTGACGCTATATGAATATGTCAACTCGATTCCCTCGCGTGTGCTCTTGAATCGGTCGCCTTTTTTGCGCATTTTTTGATGCTACTCCTGGTACTGCTGGTACTACTCCTGCATTGTCTGCGTTGCTGGGCTGCGATTTCAATTAAAGAATCGACCCGATACACTTCATTCGCTGCATTCCAGTCTTTGTTTCGGCGCATATGTTGCCATCCTCCAATCGAATAAACGCAGTCTTCCCGTTTGATTAGCTTCCGTGGGGAAGTGGTTAGAGTTCTTTAAGGTTGGGAGGTTCGTTGACCGAAACCCGGAAGCAATTCACACTTTAATATCCTCCAGAAAGGTCGGGGGAGGACATGCCAAGAAAATAATGAACAAAGTCAAAAACTTGACATAAAGCTTAATTGCTGAGCCGGAGTCCTGAGGCCCGAGCCCCAGCCCTGAGACTGAGCCTAAGCCTGAGCCTGAGCCTGAACCTGAGACAGAGGCCCTAGTCCCGTGCCGAGTTCTGACTGTGAAAAAGCACCAAGTGCACTCGAGGTAATTTGATTTAATTGTGGGTGCCAGCCCGCCCCGGAACCACTCCAAGAGCCCAGCCCGGCAACTTTTGCTCATATGTGGTCGCCTTGTGGCAAGGTGTGGTACATGCCTCATAAAAAATTTACAAATGCAACGGAGAACAACTGATGGAAGTGATGCCGTCCCATCCCGATCCCAATTCCAGTTCAAGTCCAAGTCTGTGAAACTCTTGAACCTTAGTCCGGGGCCCCGGCCCCTGACCTGGCCTGCCACTTGAGCTTGCTGCTCAACATCATGTTGCAAGTTGCTTGTTGCAAGTGATGCTGCTGCTGTTCGTACCTCCCATTTTCACTGCTCGCCATTGTGTAGGTTTATGTACTGTTTTTCACTATGCCTGTGGTTTTTTGTGTCCTGCATAAATCATCAGCGCAATGACTTTTAATGCATTATTTATTTGACATTTTTTGTACGTCCTCTATGCCCCTCTCTCTCTCTCTCTCTCTCTCTCTCTCTCTCTCTCTCTGTTTCTCTCCTTTTGTCTTTTTGTTGCTTCGTTTTTTCAACTATAGCTAAGAGAATTCATGGCTGACGAGCGTTTCCACTTCCGTTTGCAATTACACGAGAATGGTGGCTAAAATAATGGCCAGAGACCCATCACCCGCATTAATCAATTATTTACAGTCGACGGTCCATGGGCCTAAGCATTTGATTTGTGGATTTTTGTGATTCCATTCGAATGAGTCTGAATTGGCTAACGATCCATATGAAGTACACATATTTCATAGTCATATACTCCACAACGAGATTAAAACATTTTGCACATCTAAATCTGATATTTGCAACCATTCTATTACGATTCACAATCCATTTCATAGCCCAATCCAATTACCGATTGATAACCGGTTCCCACACTCACCCACACACAAACACCCACTGGCAATCGCTGCTTTACCGCTTCAGAGTTTGATTTGAAGCCCCAATCCAATATAAAAGAACCCCAAATCGGGTGTTGCTTTGCAGCTTTCTGGCCACCGGCAATTGAAAAACAATTGAAAAATCGCATCGCTCCTCTCTGCCGCAGCATCAGCACCGCACCAGCACAGGCACTCATGTGTACTCCCGTGCATTCAGGAATGTATGTATGACTATACTAATAATTCATACCCCTAATGTCATTTCAATGGTCAGTCCGAAGAGGAGGAGGAGGAGGAGGAGCGCTGTCTGCAGACACATGCTACGTTTGGAGTGTTAGCCCCTGTGGACGCCGCCTCGGGCAGTGCAACAAAATTAGCTCCAAATGGAGTTCGTCTCTCTCTCTCTCTCTGATGATGTCTGATTTTTAGCGCTTAATTTATGCTTTAATTGCATATTTCGCGATGCAATGCAAATTTCCACTGGGGTTACTCCTGCTCTCCGGCTCTCCTGCTCTCCAGCTGTGGAATGGCATGCATTCCATTTAGATAACCGCAAATATTTGCCACAAACGCACATGCCATGCCCGTGCATTCCTGACGTGACAAAATACCACCCCCAAAATTCAGCACCACCTCCCACCTCGCACTGTTTGTGCGTGCACCTGTCTGCGGATGCTGCATGAATGACTATCACATTTGTTGCACACACTCATTTCTGGCTCATTTCAAGCCATTTCACTGCCTCCAAAATGGGTTTCAGCTTTCAGCGAGATCGTACCAAAAAACCAATTGAAATATTGGTGAAAAATATGGGTGGGAATTGTTTAAGGGGGAGTCTAAGAGCTAAAGCTCTTCCCAACCATATTTTCAAGATATTAACTTGAGACGCAGGTAGAATATGTTCCAGAATGGTTTATTGTTGTGGACTTTATTCGATTGTGGACTACGATTTGGTACCTATTGGTTCCCGGGATGTCCAGATGGGATGGTGGCCAGGATTTCAGCCAGTCGCTTGGAGCGCAGAGAGTAATGATCGTTCTGGCGCCGCAGAATGCCATAGGAGACACCGTCACCCAAATGCATGCGCACCTGTCGCTGAAACTCGGGATCTGCACGGCGATAGCGGGCACCCAGGCTGGAGATGATCTCTGTGTCGCTCATCGGTCGATGGCCATCTTCCAGCATGTAGATGATGGTGCGCAACAAATTGGGCACCAGTCGGCGCTGATGGGACATGGTACGGATGTTGTAGGTGGTTGACATTTTTATCAATGGATGGATCCTTCTAAAATACCCAAGATGATCCTGCGTCCTTGGACCTGAACGTAAAATTTTGAAACCGAAAGGGTATGAGGGTGAATAGATTTGTGCGTGTGCGTGTGCGTGTGGGGAAAGTGCCGAGCAGGCTTTCCTCCTGACACTGACAGTTTAGGCACAGCCTTGCGGGCTGTCTGTCTGGCTGTGTGGTTGTGTGGCTTCCCCATGGCCAATTAATCAGGAGACGGCAATGGCTGACTTTGTAGCCGGTTGAACTTGAGTGACCTCGAGGCATATAAAAACGAAAACTGCGACAACAAAGGCGCACAGAACGAAGGAGGAAGCGCTCCAACAGGGAAGCAGCACACAGGACTCCACAAACATCAAGTGACATTTGAGCAAAGACAAAAAGTCATTATCACGGCGACGTTGTGCCGCACTTGGGCTCTGACTCTGACTCTGCCTCAGACTCAGACTTTGCCTCTGACCCATGTGCAGCGTATGGAGCAGGAACAGGAGCACGTGGTTGAGGCGGCCGTCGCCATCTCTGTCGCCATGTTTTTTGCCTTTTCCGGCATTTTGTTTACGATTTCTTTTTGTTTTAGCCCAGTCTACGTGTGTGTGTGTGTGTGTGTCTGTTTGGGCTCCCCGGAGTACGCGGATTTCCTTTCGAGATGCCGGAGTTGGCAGACGGCAGTTTTCCCTGAATGATTTTCACTTGTTTGTCCTCGTTGGGTGCTTTGTTCGCCGTAGAAGGCCGACCGACCGACAGACAGAACGCCACCCGGCCCTGTTTTGTCCCTCGCCAAGTGCAATTGTCATAAAGTGTCATTGGCTGACGTCGCTTCGCGTCGCGTCGCGTCGTGGCAGTATCCACGGCAGCATCCGTGGCAGCATCCTCCACGGCACGAGTAAGAGTGAGTATCCTCGTCATCCAGCCCTTTGTCCGCAGTTGTGGGTGTGCGGTGAATCAACTTAAATGAGTATCCGCTTTGTAACTACAAGTGCGTGTCTTCGCTTTGTCCCCTTTGGGCCATCCATCCCTTTGGGCTGAGGAGCAATTGGCTTTGTGTGCGATTTAGCTTTGTTTCAAGACTGGGGTCTAGGTCTAGGGCTGGCCGCGGCGAAGGGGTAATAGTAATGGCAATGGAAATATAAACGGAAATGGGACCGGTACCGGGAACGGGTCTATCGTATGGCTGCTGTCTGGGAGAAGTCATAATCCATAGCCTTGCTTACTGCCACTTGTACTACTACTCTTTAAGGCAGGCCTCCTTCGGCCTCCTCCATCACTTACAAAAAAAGCTATCCCCTAAATAGATGGTGATAAAAAAATCCCTATGTCGGGCTAAAGCAAGCAAAATTATGATATATGATGTGTATAAGATAGTTTTTATGGGAGAAAGCACCCCTTAAGATACGTATCATGTACATATGAACATGCTAACATATGGAAAGAACAATAGCTTTTCATTTGATTGCAAGTGCCTTATCAATTCTCTATCATGCCCCCTTTAATTACCCTTTTAGGCAGCTTTTCCGCGCAATGCAGAACTGTACGTTGTGCCCGGCGGCAGCATCTATGCGTGCCAGAGCCAGTACGAGTGCGAGCATATGAAATGGCAAAAGCAAATGGCTAAACGAGCGGAAAGAAGGAAGCGAGGACGAAACTTGATTTATGCGGCAACACTGTTGCAGTTCCCATCAAAAAAGAAAAGGACTGGCAGCTTCCTCCCTTAAGCGGCTTACAGAACTACTAGCGAAACTGGCTCCTAAGCGAATTATACTGCATCGCGGCAGGACACTCGCAGCAGGACTCTGGACCATGCGGCAGCCGGTCATACGCTTTTCGATTCGGTCCCGCAGCCCTCCTTGGAACTTGGCCAAAATCCCTGAGAAATTGGGGAAAGTGGCAGCTTCAGGTGAAGAGGTCTAACAAACTTTGTACATATGTATGTACAATGTACATACATATTTGTCTATGTTGCATTCCTATGGGATGTGCGACGGGGGATCTGGGTTCCTGAAGCATTTTTCGCGAATTGAATGAAAACAATTACAAGAGAGCTAACACGGAGGCGCCGGAGGAACACATAAATGCCACCAAGGAATGATAAATTGACGGAAAGAGAGCAGACTCGCGATGGGATTACATTTGAGGATAGGATTGCAAATGGGAATGGGAATGGGACAGGGACTAGGACTGACTCTGGGTTTGCCCAGCATTCGACGCCGACGACGGGCGACATTGAGCAATTGCCGTGTATAAATATTCCAGCACTCCCCGACACAGAAACAGACACGGACAGGGACACTCGCATGTAGGCGACAACCACCTGTCAGTATGGGGAACAGCATAAACAAGCAGAGCAAATCAAAACAAGAAGTAGGGGGAATCCCCCCGGCGAAAGTCGGAGAGAGAAAGTGTGCCGGCCGGCGGCAACATGCAGCCAGGACTAGATACTTAGGACCTGCGCACTGGCCCCAGCCACATTGCTTCCCACTTCGAAATATTGGGCAACATTTTCGAACTGTCGAACATCGCTGGCACCGAAAATAGCCGAGCAGCTGCACTTGCGTGGTGGAGCACCCGCCATAAAGCTCATGAACCAACTTAGGAATGAGAATTAATCCTCCAATGGGCACACAGACCTACAAATATAGTGTGAACAACTAAAGACCTTCAGATACTCCATCAATATGGCAAAAATAAAATATGGTACTTATCCATTTTTATACATTTGCTTGAATAATACCATTAAAATAATTAAAGCGTAAACGCAATATAGTTTTTTGTTTTAATTTCCCTTTTCCGTCCGCTTACTCGATCTAGCACTGCACAAATATACCTTACATATACAACAAAAATTTGAAAGCTAATGTTCAGGACTTCTATTGTCCTAACGAACAGCACGAATGGCAAGTACATTTCATTTAATGGAAGCCGGGAGACGTGCTTAGAAACTGTTACGAACACTAGTTTTGGACTCATTAGTCTCTTCGCAAAAATGCAAAGCTTGACATCCTACAGCTATGCACAAAAACCTTAGGAGCTTATATCTGTGGGAATGAGAATATATTCAAAGCTCTTTATTTGGATTAACGGATAATTCAACGCAGTTTTGGAAAGCCCATTGGGCGGCATAATTACTGAAAATTCCATATTAATGAGTCTTTACTTAAATCCCTCTCGCATGAATGAGTTTGCATTATGCATTATAGCCGACACAAAAAGTTGTGCCGAACCAGGAGGGCCAAGGGTCGCACGTATGTATGTAGTACATACATATGTATGTACAATGTACATACAATATGTATATGAATATATAAATCTGTCTACCCTATATACATATATTATTTATCTTTTTATATAGATATTGTATCTGTATATGGTTATATCGTGCTAGTATTTGTTTGTGCGCCGCGCAAGTGAAATCGTTGTGTAAAAACTGTGTTTAATTAGCATATGGCGGCAATTAATTAATTTGCAGAGCACCGGGCAGCGCACAGCATTTTCTGGCATGGCCCCTGGCTGCTGGACCCACGCTCCCTATGCAATTTTCATATTAAATCAAAGATTATTCTATAATTAAATGTGCACACACAAAGCGCGACAGACAGGGACAGGCGTGGAAGTAGGGGCTCACGGAAAAAGAGGGAGAGGGAGCGCCATTTGAGTCAGTAGATGAGATGGGATGCCCTACAAATACGAATATATCCGATTCTTCCAGCTTGGCATCAACTTACATCTGAATAAATAAATATAACTTGATGCACTCTGCCAGCACTCCAGCACTCCGCAGCACTCTCGATGGCCATTGAGAGCATGGGCAATGGGTTAATTGGCGACTCCAATCAACTGAAATCGAATGGAAAATGCATTCAAAATGTAAACGAAAAATGAAATTAATGAGCGAAAGGCAATCCGACATCCGTATCGAATGGATAGATGTTTGGGTTTGGCTGGGACGGATGTTGGTTTTGGCCACCGCAAAACTGTTGACAGCATAATCGACTTGCACTTAAAAACAGTAGCGAATGTGTTAATTGAATCACACATTATCGCTGTCCAGCAGTCGGCCTCTCGAGCAGCCGAACATCCGGGTATGGGTCTGATTCATCAGCTGCGATTGTCCATTTTAAGCAGGGGTAACTTCCAGTTTATTAGAGCTTATATTTTGCTTTCACTTTTTCAAATAACTGAAGTTCTGGTTTTGTTGAACTTTGCAAATCTGAAAAGCTGATAAATGCAGCTACAAAGCGCATTCAACTACTTTGTAGCTTCAGCCTACCGCCTGGAAAATATTAAGCTAAAAAAATTCAAAATTTATAATTTCTTGCTGTATTTTAGCCTTCGAAATTTGTTCTAACCTCAGAAAAAGTGTAAAAAAAGTATTTCCTAGTTTTTTATTTTTGATAAATACAATAATTAAGCGTCGTTTAAAAATGTTTGTACAAATCTATGGGTAAACTGTTAAGGTGCAGGCGTTTGACCAAACCTTCTAAAGCCGCATTAAATCACGCACTAATGCCCCTTTAATGCATTCGATCATTACGAATTCTGCCTTTAGTCAGTTTCCAATCACCCCGAATCACTTAAAACCGAGTGCGAGCCCAGAAGTGGCTCAAAATCATAGCTCGCATATATCGGTCAACTCTTTGTCACTGTCAAAACTAACAGCCGCGCTCCTACTTTTTTACCCGGTAATCAGTCGGTATATATGTGAGCTTATTTATAAATATATACAATCAGCAAGCTCTGGTTTTCAGCCGAAACATTTCGTTCAGGTTAAGGTGCTCCAGCGTTCAAAAATATTTTTTGTCGATATGATTTATTTTCATATCGACAAATACAGCTGACCTGGTTGCCACGTAAATATACAGCGTGATAAAAATGCCTTTTATTTTTAATTGCCTATTTTAAGTAAGAGATTCAGGAAGATCAAGACATCTCAGATTCGACACCTGTGTATTTAAATCGTCTGACGAGCTGTGAGTAACAGTAAGCATATTGTAGCGACTCTTTACTTATACCTGAAACTCAGTCAGTATGGCTCCCCTCCGCCAGAGGGCAAACACATTCACGACGAAGAGTGTGTTGGCGAGAGAGACAAAAAA